AAAAATAATTTCATTCATTTCCAATGAAAGAAAAACATATCACACATCTATGCTGAGATCAAAATAAGTTAGTTTTATGATATGCTTTCTAACTAGAGCAGCTTTTATAAATGAAAATAAAAAGGAATACCTTTTTACCAGTGATAGATAAGATAGTCTAGAGTGAACAGTGCTTGCTTACAGCACATAACTCCTAAAAACCAAGATGAACCTACCTCCAAGACCAAGGTCTTTGAGCACTTGATAACCACCCGGCTGCAGATACTCTCCAACTATCCTGTCAGGCTCTTGTAAGTCCCTCTCAATCACTGTCACCTTTCTCCCGTCTCTGGAGAGCACTGCGGCCAAAGCAGAGCCAAGTATCCCGGATCCCACGATGATCACTTCTGGGTCATTTTGAGGAGAGATCGATGTAGAGGCAGCTGCTCCTAGTAAGATGCCTTCTGAAATGCTGCTTCGTTTTCTGCACTGTTCAAAAAAGAAAAGGATGCATCCACATTTATTAACCTTAAATTGTGCTACTATATAGACACACTGGACTTCTGCATCTTGGGCAAGAGCTACACCCTAAACATTACCAAACCAAATGAACTCTTATGTTTTTAAGTCGTGATCATATGTAAAAACCAGTAATATCAAAAGGTTGGAGAAATAAAAATTTATAGTAACCCAACAAAATTAAGTGTATATTTCTTTCCAAATTTATAGTAACCCAACAAAATTAAGTGTATATTTCTTTCCAAAATTAAGTGTATATTTCTTTCTAAGCAGTACTTAGAAAATGATGTGATACAGACATATTTAGAAATTCACACCAAGCCAGATATTTAAAAAATGTTTGTAAGTGGCTTCAGACTTCTTATATGGAAAATTGTATTATTATTCAATTCTTCAAACATACACTGAGCATTTACCAAATGCAAATCACATACAACTTCCAGTTTGACTTCATGCTGCACATATTCAGCACCTTTTATATGTTTTCACTATTTATCTTTATTTTCTCCTGGATTGTCATCTCAAAAGTCTACCTTCACCTAAAATCACTTTTATGTCACAAACTGTCAAATCCTGGCTACTCATGTCCTAACAGAGAATTACTTAACTCTACAAAATTCCAAAAAGAGTAACTCATTGTCCCTTGGAACTTGACCTGCTCACAATTTTAATCTGTAACATGTAAGAGCACATTTACTTTAATCCTTCTTTATTCCCCATTTGGATGCTTATCTAAGGGAACCTGGTCAATGAGGCCAAGTCGGTCCTCCAGTTTACAAACAAGGAAAAACATTAAACCTGTCATTAATTGGGTTGACAGTAAAAACTTTAACTTTGAACATAAGATGGAAAAAGTCCTGTTTGGAGAGATTTATACCCACTGAGAATAACAGTAAATGGTTTGGATTTGTTTGTTTGTTTTTTTAATGAACAATTCAAAGTTGTAATCAATAATTTTTCTTCTGCTTTTTGGGAGGAGGCATGTGGATTCACAAATAGGAATACAGTTCAGATAGAGGGTTGCAAGGAACCATCTTCCTTGAGCTCTCTGACCTTAAGCATTAAGATAGAACCAAATGTCACTTTGACATGGTTTTAATAAAAGAGACTTCAGGCGGAAAGGAGACCATCCCTACAATCCTCTAGAACTTTAATTCTCTGTGATCCTAACATTCACCTATCTAGCCTTCTTATATTTCCATAATGGAGTGGGGCCATGTTTATTCCATTTTTCATCATTTTTCTTAGAGAAATTACCTTTTTGTCCTTTACCAAGGGAAGACAATAGTCTACTCTTCCCATCAGTATAGCATTTCTTAATGGCCAGAATAACAGATTGTATTTAAATTATTGTTGTGAGAGAAAGATAAGCTCCTTTTGTCTCTTAACCATTATTTATTAGTTTTTCTTCTGAGAGTTTCCCTGTTAACCATAAGCAGGCAATCCTGGAGTGGGAACTGTGGAGGAAGTCAGAACTGATCGGGAGAAGTACTAATGGGAACTTAGTGCTCAGTACAAAGCAGAAAGCCTGGCGCGTTCACCAAGTGCAACCAATATTGACTGCTGCTCACCAACGCTCCCACCCCAAGACTGGTCTGCACAGCTTGATGTCATGTCCGTCCTGCCACCTGGACAAGAGCTTGCTCACTGACCCCAAGGGAAGTTATCTCAAGTCAACAGTGTCAAACATTTCAAACTGCGAATCAAACTTTCACCCTCCCTCCCCTCCCATTCCTCCAGCCCTCACTTGCCGTAACACTGAACTTAGCACCACTCCAAAGGCTCCAACAGATGTGTCCTACCTTTAGAATAACATTAACAGCTGCTATTTATATTGGACAATTATAGAGCAAGCATTAAATCGGGAAGGCTGCTGTGGTCCCCATCTAGCAGAGGAGATAACTGATTAATTTGCCAAAGGTCTCACAGCCAGAATCGGCGGAACATAACTTCCAGACCAAGTCCCTCTCTTGGGTAAGCCTTGCTCACCTGTGCTGTGACTATAGTGAAGTATTGCCGATCCAGAACCCTGGCTGTGTAGGCCACTGGCCCAGACTCCAGGTCACCATCAACCCTCACTGGGCGACAGCGGCAGTCTCTCACCTGATAGATAGGATAGCCTTGCTCCCTTTCTTGTCTCCCTACGATCTACCCTTCACACAGCAATTGGAATGTTTTTTTTTTTAAGTAAAAATCAAATATGATTACTCCCATGCTTAAAATCCTCCAGTGCTCTTGGGAAAAAGTCCAAACACCCACGGCCCACAGGCCTCAACCACCTCTCCCCGCTCATCTCCCACACTGACCTCCTCTGCTGGCCAGGGTCTCGATGACCTCACGGGTATTGGAAGCCCTGGCCTTTGATTTGGGAAAGGAACTGCTTACTTATTTACTGCCAACTTGTTGGGTTGACAGTAAAAAAAAAACTTTAACTTTGAACATAAGAAGATGGAAAAGTCCTGTTTGGAGAGATTTATGAGAATAACAGTGATTCGTTTGGGGGGGTTTTAAGTGAACAATTCAATGTTGTAATCAGAAATTTTTCTTTTCTTTCTTTTTGGTATGTGCATTCACAAATATGGATACATTGCAGATAGAGGACATCCCGGCACTGATTTACTGGAGGCCCCACTGGTGTGGGAAGAGGAGGTGTTCTGTCTGTGGCTGCAGATGCTGAGCCTTTTCACGCTGTCACTTTTTCAGATTGTTCTGTCACTTTCCCCAGACTGCTGTCACGTTCGCACAGTAGAGGGCTTACCTGCCACAGGTTTCCTTCTTCCCAGCTACAAACAGCAGCCTTACCCAAGGATTTAAATAAAACATTTTTTTTCCATCACCGAGAGTGGTTCTGCCCACCATCAAAATGAAACCTCTAACATTTTATTCCACCTTTCAGAATCAAACCGATTTCACTGAGCCTTGGCTCAACCTACGCTAAATGACACAAATGTTTTCAAATCACTAGCAAGAGTGCCAAGGAACAGTCCAAAGCTTTTTTTAGTGGGGGAAAAAAATGTACATGAGAATCCATACCTGAGAATCTAAGCGGCAGCCCTTTTCCCCTTAAAGGGGGCCATTCGCATGTGGGTGGCCCCGGTCCTCATTTTAAAACAAGACACTCATTCCCCGGACCAGCATGAATCCCACCTACCTTCCTGGACCCGAGCTGCTCTTTATTGTCGGCCCCGGGCGCGGGGTTGGCCCAGAAGAAGCCGATGAAAGGCAGGGCCGACAGGACCCCGGAGAGCACGGCGAGCTGGGGCCCGCTGGGCGCCGCCGCGCTCCGGGAGCGGCAGCGGTAGGACAGCACCAGGCCCAGCGACAGGAACAGCAGCACGCACAGCAGCAGCTCCTTGTTGGCCAGCGTGACGAAGTCCCCGCACTTCTTGTAGAAGTACGTGAAAGTGGCAAGGCCGAGGAAGGTCCACATGGTGCCAAGGCCCCTTTGGTGGCACCGGTCGACGCTGAGTTCCTTCTCTTTTTTTTTCCCCCCCACCCTTGGAGGGTTGTGATGGTCGGAGATCGTCCCCAAAATGTGTCTTCAAAAGGAGCGCCGGGAACCCGCCCGCCTCCAGCTATCACCGTCACCGGGTCACAAGTCGAAGCAGGCTAGTGTATAAAATCATACAGTTGGTATAAAAATGTCTGAAGGCGGAGAGTCAGGACTTAGAAAGCAGTATTTCAAAAGCTCCAACAGCTCCCGATACAGACTCTCTCCTCTTTCGAGCAATCCGTTTATTTTTCTTTCTCTCTTTCTTTCTTCGTAAGATGGCTTTTTTTTTTTCCCCTGGTGGTGGTTGCCGGGGTTTTCAATTCTGACGTTGGTTCATCGCGCTGTAAAATTGTTCTCTCTCAACAGCAGCAGGTGCCCTTTCAGAAACAGACGGGGTGGGAGGAGATGAAAGGAGTATCTTATAACGCCGCAAAAAAAAACCGCGGCCGCCTCTTGGGACAGCGACGGCCTGCACGCGAGGAGTCGGGTTCCACTCCCCACCCGGCGGCCACCCGCGCAGCCCAGGGTCAAGGGGAACCTGCGGCTTCCGGGCGGAGAAGGGCAGCCCCTATACCTCGATACTTTCTCCTCCGCAGCAGCTCCCGATGCAACCGCCGCCTCACTTCCCAGGGCGCGACTTCGTTTCCCCGCTGATGAATGCAGGTCTCGGCCCAGCTTCCCTCAGAGGACGGCGGCGGAGGCTCCCCGCGGCGTCCTCACCGGCATCCCTCCCGCGGCGCCCAGGCAGTAACCAGAGCAACCGTCCCACGCCCTCCGCCTCTGACTCGGCCCGCGCGCCTCAGCTGCCAGAGATCTGGCCACAGGCCTAGGGCCAGGGGGCGGGACTCCAGAGGGCGAGCCCGCCCCGCCCAGAGTGCCGTCAGAGAAGACCCCGCCCACCTTTACCAGCGACCAATGAGGGTGCAGACATGCGGTAGGCCGAGGTGGCGCTATGGCGCGTTTGGCCAATCGCGGCGGGCGCGGCCCTCGCCGTGACGTCCGGAGAGGCGCTAGGGCGATGTTGCGTGGTGTGGGGTGGGGGCGTGGGGACCGGCGGGCTGCTTGGTGGGTGGCTGGGGAGGCACTGACGCCTCCGGAGAGAGAGGGGCCTTGCCCTGGGTGCCAGGTCAGTTTACTCAGGTTAGCCCTGTCGTGAGGGTAGGTTCGTGATACAGTCTCGTGTAAATCGGTGGGGCAGCTCTCTGCTAACTGCCAGCAGGGCAGCCCAGCACCAAGGAATAGATTAAGATCAGCAGCACACAGTAACTATGCTATTCACTCGTCTTTTCTTGACTGCGGGTTAGTTACTCAAGGTAGAACATCAGCATGCATTCATATCCTACTCTCTAACAATGTACGAGAAATACAACATACACACAGCAATTAAGGGGGGGAAAACGAACCGGAGCCCTGGTCTCAGCCTGCGGGTCTGGGGGACAGGCACCGTGGTCAAGGGAGTTGTCAGCGGCGGCTTGCAAGGAAGCCTCTCCAGAGCCAAGTGGGCCGCACGCAGGGCAGGCGAAGCCCTCAGTCCGGCAGGGCAGAGCCTCCGGGAGCCGATGCCAAGGGAGATCAGCGTGGCGTGGAGCAGTACTCTGGTGTGTGAAGCTCAGCTGTCTCAGCAGTGGTCTGGAGCCTGCCTGAGTTATACCTTGAGAATGGTGTACTCCACCCTTCTGGGTCTTTTTGGATAAATGTCTTGGCACCCCTGACGGCAAGTGGGGAATTTCCCCAGGAACCTATGGGTGGTCCTGCTCTGCAGGCATGGCTGTTCCTGCCACATGTGCAGATAATCTTAAGTGTGTCTCCTTGCCAGATGTGCCTGCTCTGACTTAGGCAGTTTCCCTCTTGAAGTGTCATGGCTGATTGACAGCCACTTTGGTTGACATGAGTGACTCCATTTTGTTTTATATACTTTATACTATTTTGACTGGACCAATGCCATTTCATTGGTCCTGTTCTCCACAAGCCCCAGCCGCAGGGGTCTTATTTGGAAAAAGAGGAGTCCATTCTGAGGAAGTTCCCCGGGGATCTCCCGCTCAAAGTCTGAATGTTTCCATTCATTCCACAAGCATTTGTTGAGTGCTAACTACCTGCCAGCTGAGGGATTATAGAGACAATTCAGATAACAACCTTTCTGTCCTGTGCCTAGTGTGTGTAGGCGGTAGGAGGGGCTGGAGGATGTGATTTTGACCAGAATGTGGAAGAACAAGTACGTGAGGATATGCCAGGCGTTCCTCTCGCCCAAAACTATCAGCTAAGACTTGTCACTGGGTTCAGGCTGAGGATACACTGATGCACTTAGTCCCTATTCTCTCAAAAATGTGGGGAGGAGGGCATGGGGTAATTTCATCTTGGGCAAATTGTGTTCAGAGACTCAGATTATCTTTTCCAGACATTTATTTAACACAGGTTCGCTATGGGGATTATAAAATTTCCCACAAGCCAAAATTTCACAAGCCAATAGCATGTAGGATGTCTCTTAGTTGTAAATAACATTACAAACCAGTGATAGATTAATTACACTGTTATTCCAGGCAACGGGGAGATAAAAGTACAAATTTAGTGAAGTATAGCTTTCTACATGTTTGTTCTCCACAGAATCAGTTCTTCCAACTAAAAGCTGGGTATGAGCTGCCAGCTTAGGTCCCTCTCGGTGCTTTGGAAAATAGCTAGCAGGGTATGGCACCGGCGTTGGAAGGCAACCTAGGCTGCTCCTAATGTTATTATTCTAGGGACCTGTACACGGTTTTCCCCCATCGCCTTCAAGGAATAGGCTCACAAAAACAAGAACAGATGTCCCTTCTCTTCCTGACACTGCTGCACGGTGTAACCCCACTGCCACTGCCAACCAAGGGTAGCCCGACCACATCCTGGAGCAAGTGTCTCAAGATCTTTGGAGAGCTACTTAGTTAGATCAGCAAAGAGTAGCTTTGCCCAGACCAAACACTCTCAGTAAGTCTTCATAAATTCTTGGTATTTGAGGTTTAACTATCTATCACATTTGGAGTATCTGAGTGGCCCAGCGTAATCTTAAGGGTCCTTACAAGTGAAAGAAGGAGTCAGAAGAGTGAGAGCCAGGGAGATGAATTCAGCCTGACAACGCTGTCTTTGATGTTGCAGGACGAGGGCCAGGAGGCGAGGAATGTAAGAGGCCTCTACAAGTTGGAAAAGCTCCCTCAGAGTCTCCAGAGTCTCCAGACACCTTGATTTTATCCCGATGAGGCCCACTTTGGAGTTCTAAGGCTCTAGAATTGTAAGTTAATAAATTTATATTGTTTTTAAAATAGCCACACACCCATATGCAGTATCACATGATTGTTTCTCCTCCACATGCTCTTTTTTTTTAAGATTCTATTTTTTTTTTTTTTTACTTTTAGAGAAGGGAAGAGAGGGAGAAGAGGGAGAAAAACACCAATATGTGGTCGGTCGCCTCTCACATGCACCCCCCCTACTGGGGACTCAGTCCACAACCCAAGCATGTGTCCTAAACTGGGAATCGAACTGGTGACTCCCTGGCTCACAGGCCAGCACTCAATCCACTGGGCCACACCAGCCAGGGTACCCACCACATGTTCTTATAGGTAAGGCCCCGGCAGTACCAGTCAACCGGTGTCATGACATTCTGGCACAAATTCCTTAATTTAAACAAAATTCACCTTTGGGTCAAAGCAACTTAAGTCATAAATGAGTTCATTTGAGATTATAACAAACCAATACACAACAGAGATAAAGAAGTAAAACAAAGAGAGGTGTGTCATAAGTGCCCTGAGAGAGTGAACGAGGAACCATGGAAGCAGGAGGCAGCCCCTCACTGGCCTCCACAGGAAGTTAAACATGAACTCTGTTCAAGATGAGTGTTCCAACAAGAACAACAACAGTGTGCAAGAGTCAGTGTGAGATATGGCCCTTGTTATGAAATGATGAAATGTTTCTAGAATTCAGTGAGGCCCAGGTAAGCGCCTTCACTCACCCATCATTCAACCCTGGACTGCCTACTGTACACCGTATGAGTATGTACAAATCCTTTCTGCCATTTGGAATACGGCTGAATTTTCACCTTTTCCACCAAGTCTCCACGGACCCTCACCAAGTCACCTAAGTTTATTCACACCTTATTGTTCCCACTCTGACTGTACACTTGTAGTTAGGTCTTATCATTCCACATGGGAGGGATCTGCATATGATAAATCAGAATCACCCGTAGTACCTACCAAAATGCTTTGCACTTAATTTATCCTCCATGACAATGTACTGAATGAATGACTGAATGAATGAATGATGAATGACGGTGTAGTAGGAAAACAGGTGACTAAAATCAGGAGATCTAAATTCTGGCTGCCACTAACCAGCTCCATGACTTTGGACAAGTCAAAAGTCAGTCACCCTCTGCTGGGAGAGACATATATCTCCACAAAATCTAAAGTTCCTTGCCATCGTGTGCCAGGCACTTTGCTGAGTATAAAGAAGTATGGCACCAGGCAGCATACTGAAACTGGGAAAATGACCTGTACTCAGGTCCAGGGTGCCTGTGGCTGCAAAAGCCAAACCCGAGAGACAGGTGCTAAGGTGGAGGAAAGAAATTTAGTCCAATTGCTGGCAATTTGGGAGATGGGGGACTTTTCTTGTCTTGCTAAAGCCCATCTCAGAATTTCAGTGCATGTGGAGATTTTTATAAAGATGTGGAGGGAAAGCAGAACAAAGAGATCGGGGGAGGTGAGTGCAAAGTGCTGCTTCTCCTGCGAAGGGGGAGCACAAGCAAGGGGGGAACTTCCTCCCCTTGTCTCCTGTGATCTCTCTTCAAACGGGAATTTGTAGCTTCACTGCAGACACCTGGGGATGTTCACAGCTGGTGCCCAGCAGTCCTTTCTCCCCCAGAATAGACTTCTCAAAGCTGTAAAAGGCTAGCTAAGAGGTGAAAACACGGGGTTTTATTTACACACTCCAAGAAAGTAGAGGGCTGGCTGCAACCTTGTGAAAATGTAGCTTCATTGAAAGGTTAAATTACGGTTACCATTTTTCAACCCAAATATTATGTTTTATCTGCTAGTAAAAGAATTATGTGTTAAAATACTTCCCTGGGCATTCTGTGACACCCACACAAACTTGATCTGAAAAGTACAAAAGCGAGTCGGGTAGCTCAGGCGGTTAGAACGCTAAGGGCGGTGGGCTGGAACTGAGGTGGGAGCAGTGCTATAGCACTCACCATTCATGGCGGATTCGGTCATCGGGGAGTCCGTTACTGGTAGTAATAACATTGGGGAACTTTACTAGCATGTTCGCCTCCCACTCTCCCTGTAGGGGTCCTGAACACAGGAGGGTTATGGAAATAAGGAAAATAAACATTATTGGTTAATGGAGCGGGGACCTGGGATCTTTGAAGTTCAATAGAACAGGAATGTGATGGAGATGATGATACTAAGGTTTTAGTTCATATTTTACTTATCTGGAGATAAGTAAACACGTTTTTGTTTCTGGAAGAGTGATCTGAGATCCTCTACTGGCTCGCAGGAGTAAGTGGTATTGTCCTGCTGTTTTGGCAGTCCTGAAGGAGTTGGCTCCTCCTGTGGTCTGGCTTGAGAGGGATGTACCCAGCTGGTGATGTCAGGGACCTTGATGGCTATTGGGGAAGATGTATGAACAGGGAGGGGTCCTTCCCACAAGGGTTGTAGTTGAGCACTGGGAACTGTCCTCTTAAACTTTTAAATAGACTATGTCCCTTGGCTTAACTTGTGTTGGGAGCCTTGTAAGCCACCTCCCCCCACCCCCACCCCCACCCCCCACCCACCGTCTAGCTGGGAGATGGAAGACTTGGAGCAGGGCCTTCCAGAGTTGTTTTGCATATCAAGAACAGCAGGCTAGCTAGGGAGACGGGTGTGACTTTGGCCTGTGATGCAGCTAGGAGGCAGCGCCCCCTGGTTTCAGCACCTGTGCAAGAGTTTGGAGATGGTTCATTCCACACCACAGGGCCACACCTGCTGGACTAACTATGGAAGCCCAGAAAGGCAGAAAATACAGGAGTGCTAGCAGCTGTAGCCAATTGTGGGAGGAGTCGGAAATGGGGTTACAGAGAAGATTCCAGGCTGAGATTTAAACTAAAGGCAGGTTGCCATGTGGGACAGGAGACAGTGATGGAGGACAATGTGAAGACCATGCGGGAAGCAAAAGGGTGAAAGGACTCTTGCTGGTGAGCCATGAGGAGGTGCCATGTGGTTTTGGATTAAGATTGGAGGTTGCAGCAACACAGCTGATGGTGCTGGGGACGGCGGGAGACCTGCCCAGCCAAACACAGATTATTGGGGGGAACCAGGAGTCTAGCCGAGCTACGGACTTCTAATTCTTTTCCTGAGATGCGGTACCCCTGACTGACCTGGCTGGGTAAGTGGAGGCAGGACTGTGTGTGTGTGTGTGTGTGTGTGTGTGTGTGTGTGTGTGTGTTCTAAACAGACTTTGGGATTTTAACAGCGATATTCCGTCATTACTCTTAAACCTGTATAACTTTTGAATAAATAGTTCCTTTCATTTTTACCAAACTCGGGCATTGAGAGCCACAGTTCCCAACACAGTGGCGGGCAAAGAACCCCCAGTGACAGAAAGACCCAAGAGGAGGGGCTTGATTCGGTAACGGTATCTGGGCTCTCTTCCCAATGGGTCCCTTTTGGTAACAGCCTTAAGTTCATTTCTATGCTTCTATAATGCTTTTTGCACCTGTCCTAGATTGATGGTGGAAGGCAATTCAGGGTTTGTAGTATATGTTTACCGCCCATTCCTCTGTGGGGGGATAGATGCATAGGGTATTTACATCTTGGATTACTGGGCTGCCCCACGCTGGTCACAGATCCCTTAAGTCTTCTGCTAATGCTTGCCTAAATAAATGAGGGCTGTCCCTAAATTCCTGTGGGAGGGCAGCTCAGCTTCGTGGTTACTTATGTCCCTGTGAATTTGTCTGTTTAAAAGTAAGGAGAAAGTCCTGGTTGTAGGCTTTCCTGCTACTCCTAGGATGGTGCAGGACTGGGAGGAGAGGGTCCAAAGAAGGAAGCAAGGACAGAATAGGTGGCCCCAGTATCCAATAGAAAGTTACCGCCCCACCTGCCACATCCATGCGTACCCTAGACTTCAGGTCAGAAAGGTGACCTGCTGAGGTGGGGCTGCCTGGGACGGGCAGCTTCAGCCCTGAGTTAACATTTGTAAGGCAGCCATGGCCTCAGGCCCTGGGAGCTCTGCTGTCCCAGAGACAAGAGTGCCGCCTTCTTGCACTTGCGGCTTGGAGTCGGAGGTAGCTTGTCAGTTTGGACATTCCTTGGCCCAGTGCCCTGTCTTTTAACACAGTAAACACTTTGCATCCATGGTAGTAGACCCAGAAGGGCTATTGGGATGTGGCCATCCCACAAAGGCAGCTATAATTTGGGCCTGCGTAACCCTCTTCCCTTTCCCTTCTCTGGAGCCCCGGCTGCTCTCCTGATGCTGGCTGTAGAAGACTATTGGCTGTGGTTAACATTTCCTTTAAGGAGACTCCAGGTGCCTGAATAAGCTTCTGGGGTTTTCTCTTACTATCAAAGGCAGATTGTGCTAGAAAATTTTCAGTATGACCTGATCTTCATGATTCCAGATTTAGGTTGGTGTGTTTGATAAGTGCCTATCTTAGCCTTTCTAAAAACGTGATGGGATTCCCATCCGGGCCTTGGCTGACAGTGGAGACCTAGGAGTAGTTCATGGCCTTTTGTCAGCCTGCCTTGAGGCCTACTTTAATGCAAATTAGAAAGTACTTTCTTTCCCATTTTGGGGAGAAGTCATGGCAGCCCCATTTAGGGTCTACAGGAGGAACTGCTAACTCTCCAGTGGGATATTTGCCATCAGATAGGTGTGAGTTGTTAGCAAAGTTTTCTGGCTGCCTTCATTACTTTTCCTCTCCAAGATCTGATAAGGTCTGCCCTAAGACAACCATAGTGTCCTTCCAGCTTAACTCACAAGCTAAGGTAAGGTATTGGAGTTCCCCTATGTACCTTACTTACCTGTGTTGCCAGAGTACTTCCCAAGCCTGCCTTAATTTGTTTAAGCTCTGCAAGAGAGAAGGGCTTACATACCAGCTGAAGGCCATGTTCTCCTGCAGCCTTGATTAATGGTAGGAGGGCCCGGGACCAGAAGGCATGAGGGTTGCTAGTTGAGTTGGTTGTCCAGGGTATGGAAGCAGCGGTGAAGATGCCAAGGGCACTTCCCTTAGAGGGTTTTTTCCTAGGGCGAGGGTGAAGGGGAGGT